ATTATATCTTCTATCTGATTGTTATTCATGTACAATAAGGCTTTTACTGTTTTTGTGTTTATTTTATATATATATTTTATATTTTACTATGTAACTGAATTCTTTTGTTGTTTTATTTAGTTTTATTATTTGTTTTCTACATTTTCTGTTATCTTCAAGTAATTTTTCTCTAAGTATTATGACTCTAGTTATTTTTCCTTATCTAATTGAATTGGTTAATACTTCTAGTTCCACTGTTAAATAGTAGTGGAGATGGTGGGTATCCTTGCCTATTTCTCTCCTTAATAATAATACCTATAGTTTCTCCCCCCACTCCACACTCCCTTTTAAGCAATATGCTGGGTTTAGGAAAGAAGCATTTATATCCTTTCATATTAAGGAAGTAGCCTTTAGTAGGCTTAATTAGGAATGGATATTGAATGTTATTAAAAGTTTTATCAGTGTTTATGTAGATAATTATATTATTTTCTCTTTAAATTTATTAATGTAGTAGATTACATAACTAGATTTCCTAACATTGGATAATTCTTACACTTCTGATATAAATCCCATCAATTGGTCATGTTGAATTATTTTCTTAACGTGGTTTGGAAGTCTTGGTAAAATTTCATGTATTATTTTTGTATTAGTATTAATAAATGTATTGGTCTGTAATTTTCATTTTTGTGCTATAATTATTACATAGGTATTGATGTTACTTTTTTATAAACATAATTTAGAGGTTTTCTTTCATTTTTCATGATCTGAGATATTTTATGTAGTATTGGGACTATCTGGTTGTCAGCAACTGTATAGGTCTGTAATTTTTCCCTATTTATAAGCTAACAAGTTAGCTTGTTCCTGTCTCATGGATGTTGGTAGAGGACATGAACTTCTTAGATCAGAGACAAAGAACTTTATTGGCAAAAGCAGCAGCCAGAGCTCCATTTTCCCATCAATCCATTGTAAATCCCACAGAGGCAATGCTGGTGGGCTTATTAGAAGATTGGCTACAATCATAGTAGGTTGCCTTACAAGAGAGGAGCACTGAGCTTGGGAGAACCCCTGCTTCTATAGCAAGCAAAAACCAATCTACTCTTTCGCTGGAAGAGTTACTTGATTCATCAAAGCTGGCCTAGAAACAATATCCAGAGAAATGGCTCAAGTAAGGAATGGTCAGGGTCTTGGATCCTTGGCATACTTAGCAAGAATGTTCAGGGAAGCTTAGAATCCATGGAAGATTCCTGCTCCCAATATTGTTATCTAAATGTATGGTAGAATTTTCCTAAGAAACCATCTGGTCCTGTTACATTTTTGTGGAGTCATTTTTGATAATTTTCTCTCTTTCTTTTCTGGATATCAATCATACTAAGCTTACCTTGTGTCCTGGAGATAATTTTCATAAACTGTATTTTCTTAAGAAATTATCCATTTTATCTAGGTTTTCAAATTTATTTTCATAGAGATGTGAAAAAGTTTGCCATGACCTTTAAACTTTCCTCTTTGTCAATATTTTTTTCCCAATGTAATTTCTTACATTTTTGTGCTCTCTCCCCTTTTACCTCAATCCATTTAGCTAGTGATTTCTGTATTTTGTTGAATCCCAAAGAACCAGGATTTTAATTAACTGAATCTATTTTTCCCACTTCTTTATCTCTTTAATTTCTGCTTTATCATTATTTCCTTCTTGAACTTTCTTTGTTTACTATTTTGGCATCTTTTAGGTTAAGAGTTTATTTCACTTATTTTCATTCTTTTATTCTGTAGTTATAGATGTTTAAGGTGTTACATTTTGTTCCCATCACTTTTTACATTATATCCTATAGATTCTGATATGTTGTAATTTTATCCTCGTTTTTCAGAAACTTTGTAATCCTGTTTACATTTCCCCTTCTACTCCAAAGTCTTTCCTAATAGGTTTTAAAATTTCAAGGTGAAGGTCCTTTGATTTTGAATTTGTTTCTATTTTTTATTTCATTATAGTTAGAGTATTATTAGTGGTATTTTATTTTGTGAATTTATAGATGTTTTCTTTGTGATCCTAATATATGTTCAATTTTTGTAAATATTCTGCCATTGAGAAGAGGGATATTTGTATTACTGAGGGATATTTGTATACTGAGGTATAGAAGAAGATATATTCATTATGTAGCAGTAAAATCTACCTTATTAATTATGTTGGTTAAGTTTCTTATTTTGTGTTCACCTGGCTTGTCATGTCTTGGGAGTGATATATTAAAATCTCCTATGATTTGTGTGTTTCTTTCTATCCATACTTGCATCTTTTGTAATTTGCTCATTGCTTTGCCTTTTGGAGTCACTTTAATATCACTTTTTAATATCATAGAATTCAGCTTTACTTACTAAGTCGAATTGAAAACATTTTTTCTGGGATACCTGGGTGGTTCAGTGGTTGAGCATCTGCCTTTGGCTCAGGTCATGATCCCAGGGTCCTGGGATCCAGTCCCTCATCAGGCTCCCTGCATGGAGCCTGCTTCTCCTTCTTCCTATGTCGCTGCCCCTCTCTCTCTCTCTATGTCTCTCATGAATAAATAAATAAAATCTCTTAAAAAAGAAAAAAACACTGTTTCTTTTAGTGACTTAATCTTTTTCACATTTATTGATTTTACTGATATTATTTGGTCTTGACTCCTATTATATAATTTTGCTTTAATTTAATATATATTATACCCTGCTTGTTTCTTTTATGAGGCACATCTCTTTAATCTCTTTTGGAAATTTTTAAAAGAAGGGTTCACATGTCTGGTGCCCCAAAATTAAAAGACAACCTTTGTAATGGGAGAAAATATATGCAATTCAACAGCAAAAAAAAAAAAAAAAAATCCAACTTAAAAATGGGCAGAGAAACTGAATGTACAAACTTTCAGGTATAAGATGAATGAGGTCTAAGGAGCTAATGTAAAACATGTTGACAATAGTTGATTACAGTCAAAAATTGAAATTTACTAAGAGAGTACATCTTAAATGCTCTTGCTAAAATATATATATATATATATATATATTTATATAGTGATGGATATGTTAATTAACTAGATGAGAGGATCCCTTCACAATGTATAGCTATATCAGATCACCATGATGCACACTTTAAGTATCTCATCATTTTATATATCAATTTTACCACAATAAAGTTGAAATTTTTAAAAAGTAAAATTAAATAAATAAATAGGATTTTTCTTTTGTTGCCCAAATGGTTCACTTAGTGTCCATATCTTTTACAGTGCCTTTAATGCCCCTTTTATCATTTTCATTCTGGTTTATAAGTTTTAGTTTTAATCTTTTAACTCCCACTTAGTACTTATGGAAAAATCAATTATCATATTCTACTATCTACTTTATTGGAACATATAACAGTTTCATACTATTCTTGGACTCATAGACTCATCCTTGTTTTCATTCTAGATCTGCAGTTATACATATTAAATGTTCACTTTCGGTCCTTTTGCCAAAGTCTCTCCAGTCATCTTTTGGTTAGATGAAGTCCCTTCTCTTACAGATTTCTCAGAAAGAGTTTTTCAATGCAATGTTACCTTAGCTTTTATATATTTAAAACAATTTTTCTATCTCTGTGAAACTAGAAGAGTTCTATTGTACATAAAAACATCTTTGGTTCATATTTTCTTGAATTTCTTAAAAATGCTGTGTCACTATTATTATGCTTTGATGTTGCCTTAGAGAAGCTTTATGCTACTCTAATTTTATTGCCCTTGTAATTTGTTCCTTTTGCCTGAAGGTCCTGAAGAATTTTTCTTTTAATTTAAAGTTGTATAGTTTTACTATATAGTTATACTATCTTATAATTGATCATTCTGAGTCATTTTTCCTTATATTCTTGTGGTTAAACTTTTCAATACATAGGGCTAGATTATCTCTTATTTGTGGGACATTTTCTGATATTATTGCATTAATTGTTAGCTGTATTCCATGGTTTTGTTACATATGTGTTTAATCTTTGTACTCTTTCATTTCAGTGCTTTTAAACTGAGTTATTTTTACTTTTTACTTAATTTTCATTCTATTGTTTTTGCTTTGGTTTTCTTCAATGCTCTTTGTTATGTTTTCATTCAAATTTCATTTAGATGTTCTTTGGTACCTTAAAAAATTATTCTAAATTTCTGATATGGTTTTATCTTTTACCTTAATATCTTTTAAGGTGTCAGTCAATTGACATTTCATTTTCCCTAATATTGTTGTCCATGTTGACATTAGTTTTTAAATGTCCAATTTTTAAGTCCTTAATTGCTTGTTTTCACTTATTCAATTCAGTTTGGAGTGCTGTATTACAATAATTCATAATTGTTTCATAAATTTTCACTCAGCAAAATAAATCTGATTCTAAACTTCTACTTTTTTCAAAAAGTAGGTTCACATGGTGTTTGACTGCCTTTTCCTAATTATAATAATATTGTAGGGCAGCCCGGGTGGCCCAGCGGTTTAGTGCTGCCTTCAGCCCCGGTGTGATCCTGGAGACCTGGGATCGAGTCCCACGTCAGGCTCCCTGCATGGAACCTGCTTCTCTGTCTGCCTGTGTCTCTGCCTCTCTCTCTGTGTCTCATGAATAAATAAATAAAATATTAAAAAAATAATATTGTAGATAGAAGTTCTAGTTTAGTAGCAACCTTTCTCTTGGAACAGTGAAGCCTAATTTTTATTGTTGGTGGTAGGAATGGGTAGAGGCTGGCATGTTTTGTGACTTGTTTTTGTTTTATAGGATCCTAGATTTTCCTCTTACTTCCTTCTTTTCCTCTTACTGCCACTTGTACAAAGGTAACGAGTCTCTCTGTCTTTGTGTGTGTATCCCCTAGAATCACCTGCATCTGCAGGGCTCCCACCTCTGGGTCTCATTCACTTTCAGGATGCCTCCCTACAGTAGGTGCTATCAGTTGCCAAGTCTAAACCTGTAGTTTAATGCATAATGATAGGTATTCCTAGAATAATGATTTTTTGCCCCCTGTATTCTACCTTTGTCCTCAACCATTTCCTTTCTTCTTTTCTACAAGGTCTCTAAAACCCTTGCTGCCAGTGTTTGGACCAAGAGGCTGGCAGCTATGATGGGAGCTCTGGTAGAAGGTCAGTTGGAATTTCATGTTTATTTTTATATTTGTAGGGATTTCAAATTCATGGTCTTTGTTGTCTCCTATTATGGTTGAAAGTATGGCCCATGTGTGAGATTATTTGTGCTTTTTTTTTTCCTTGGATCTTACAGATTTTTAGATTTATGCAACAGTTTGGATGCTATTATCCCCTAGAATCTCTTTGAAGGGTGAAAAGCATTTTTTTAAAATTGTTATGATTATCCTATTCTAGATGCAGCAAGAAAAGGAAAACCACCAAACCAGCAAAGAAAGAAGTAGGAAAACTAATATTCTTGTTTAATAAATACTTATTGAGTACCTTCAGTGCACAAGGCACTGAAGATAGAGTAATCATCTAGACAGACAAGGCCTGTGCCTTCACTAGCGTATGTTCCTCTGGGAGAACAGATATAAAATAAATATATAGTGTGATGTTAAGAGATGCTAAGGACTATAAAAATTAAGCACAGTAGTGGATAAAAAGTAAAGTAGTAAAGTAGGTAGTGCCATGATATTTAGTTTAGCCAGGCTTTCTCTGATAAGATGACATTTGCCTAAGACTAGACTTGAAGTCATCTAAATATTTGAAGGAATGGATTATTTAGGTAGAGAAAACAGCATATCTAAAAGGCCCTGAGGTTGGGACAAACTTGATGTGTCTGAGGTGTGGAAGAAGATAGAAAAACTGGAGCTGAGATTGTGGGAAAAAGTGTATTACAGGATAAAGTTAGAGAAGCAGGCAGTAGCCAGATCAAGTAGAGTTCTTGTAGCCATGATAAGTTTTGGACTTTGTTTTAGGTGTAATGGGAAGCCATTAAAGGCATTTAGCTGGGAAAGTAATAGAATCGATTTACATGTTAAAGGGATAGCTGAGGCTTCTGGGTCTAGTATATACTGACCAAGGAAAGAGAAAATGCTGGAAGATGAGTTTCCATACGGCTGGCTCTATATAACACTAATAACTGGACTTCTAACTTGCTCTTGACATCAAGTCATTATTTTGTGGCATGATTCTTACAACTGGATATTTGTCTTTCCCCCTTGCATGATTACACACAGACATTGCTGAATTGTGCAATCCCCCCATGCTTTCTGTATCACACCTGTGGCTTATGGGAAAGTTGAAATGTTGAACTGACTTTCCATTTTTGTGACTATGCACTAGTTGCTTTCCCAAAGATACCTCTGAAGTTCACTACCTGACCCTTGATAGTAAACATTGACTAATCAAAGGTTCTTTATTACTGTGTTCTCATCTACTAGTATGTTCTGTGATCTCAGCTTTATCTTTTGATACCAACAATTTCTTCTGGACATCACAGTCTCTGCTCAGTGTCTCAATGGATCAATAGTCTTTGTTCTCTCCCACTTTCCCATTGTTCCTTCTCAAAAGTAAACACATCCAGTCTCTTGAGCTCCATCTGCACACATGCTGTCATTCCTCCTGTGACCAGCCACATCATACTTAAGAGATAGCAATGATTGTTGTCCATTCATTCACTCAACAAATATTTATTGAACATGAACTAAATGTCACACCCTGTACCAGATACTTTGGTATCTGTACTCACAATCCCTGTCCTAACTGTGTTTAAAGTCTAGTAGGAGTTGCAAACAAATAAAGAAGAAATGTCTTTAATGAGAGGAGTACCATGTACAATAAGGAAGTCAGAAAGGTATTCCAAGAAAAAAATAGTGTTTACCTGAAATTTCAAAGGTGAAAATGATATGTTCAGGGGGAGAGGGGATCCAGTATAAGCCAGACTGTTTGAGGTATTTACAGTAGGGCAAATAGCGTGAGAAAACTATGACACATTTGAGGAATGTAGAAAGATCAATATGAAGGAGCGGGAAGTATGAGGGATGAAGTGATGATTACAGTATTTTCATTACTACTCATATATCTTTTTTTGCTGAATAAATTAATACCTGAAACGGTCTTCATTTTTACCCCATGTAAAATTGGAATTAATTCATCTGTGCAACCTCTAAAGCCCATGGCTTGGCTTGAAATCATGGGCTGCAGAGCAGATATCTTATCATCCTACTTTTTAAGACATAAATCAGTAACTCTTCCTTATGAAGGGGAAGTCTTGTTCTCTTTCATTAGGAAAAGCTTCACAAATCTCAAATATGTTTATTTATTTTCTCCAAACTCTGCCTGTACAAACAGGACCTATGTTAGGGTCCCCAGAGGCCAGGCTGGGCACAGACTGGAGTGCTTCTGGCCAGTGGATGTAAGAGCAAGTTGCTCCAGTAGATCCAAAGATGGAACCAAAATCAAAAGCCAGGAATTCAGGATAAGGGCTCAACCTAAAAGGGCAAGACATAGGGGCAGAACCCACCATTTATCCAAGAATAAGGCATTTGGATATGAGGCAAGTGAGTACTAGACTAAAATGCGATTTGGACAAAAGAGTGGGAGTGGATCCTGGACATACTCCATGAAATGTTGGAGTAGCCCCAGGGACATTTTTATAGGGCACATATGGTCTCAGCTGTGAGTGAGGAAGAAGCTGTTAAGGGCTAAGCTAGTCCTTAAGGAGGTCTCAGTCTTTTTTGGGGTAAACATATGTGAGAACAAAAAAAATTATAGTGCAATCTGAGAAGTTCTATAATCAAGGCATATGCCAAGTGGGAGCAAGTTTTAGGGTTTTAATGAAGACTTCATAAGCATGGCATTTGAAAGATTGGTAAGAGTTAGTTGGTTGGGAAAAGGTAAGGAAAACCTGAGAAAAGCAAATAACATGGGCCAGGACTGATGTAGAAAGAGCAGTGTGTTGCATTCAAGAATCCACGGCTGAAAAGAAAATTAAAAAAAAAAAAGAATACAGGGCTGGATTGTAGAGCCATAACTTGTATGGAATGTGCCAAAAGCATGTTGGGACTTCTTAAGTACAAACTAGTAAAGATGGAGTAATCCTGGCACAGGTAGGGCTAAGATTCAGGAAATAAACCCATACTGTTGACTTCAGAAGGCTCATTTGCTGCTGTCTGGGTTGGTAGTGATGTGCTAAAGAATCTAGCCTATTGAATAGAACACGACAACAAGAATCTCAAGGTGGTGGTGATAACAAAGCGCCCTCCGTGTAGGTGACTAAGATGGGTCAGATTTCAAGCCACTAGTGAAAATCCAGTTATGTGGCTTTTGCTCTGGAGTTATGGGGTTCTATGAATGTATCCAAGTAAGCTGACCTTTTTGATAAGGCTGGAGTCCTGGTGATAGAAGTGGGCGGTAAACTAGGAAATTAAATATTGGAAGGTCAGTGAGAAAGCTGAATCTTGTGGGCTTGTGCATGTTGGAAGTTAAACTAGGATATACCAGTTGCCAATCTTAGGGCAACAAGACTAGTTCATAAGGGTCTAATCCCCCAGAAAAGGTATAACTGGGTCATGCAGGATTTATTCCAAACCTGGTCAGGGCTGAATCTTTGGAGTAAAAAACTCTTAAGACCTATGGCTGAATAGGAGCTGAACAGGCTGTGAATTATATTGATCAAAGAGCTTGCTGTCATAAGAAAGCTGGGCTTTATCTGTTGAGTCACTGGGAACCTTTGTAGAATTTTGAGAAGTAATCAAACATAACATTTATTTTTAAAAGATGACTCTGGAGGTGATATGGAGAGCCTGGAAACTTAGAATCTCATCCGGAGGCTTTTGCCTAATTATAAGCTATGTAGTAATGATTTGAATGGAGTCTGTGACAATGGGAGGCATAAATAGAGAAATAGCAATTTGTTCCTTTATAAATTATTTATTCTTAAAAAGACATGACTTAAGACTTTTTGAAAAGGCAATTGTATTACATGTGTTCTTTTACCTACAAATTCAGCTTCACATGTAAATGGAAAGATGTATTCTTTGTATATGTATCCATTTTTCTCCTGAACCCATATTAAAACCCTTTTATTCATTGGATAATACTCTGGGCCATCATTTTTTAAGACTTGGCTGTGTTAGTTCCTGATAAAATATTGACCCTTAAGCTGTCAGTTTTTTTCTTCTCAGCATGAATGAAATCAGGTAATACATTTGGAATGAGTGATGAGTAGATGTATAAAGATCTTGGTCCCAGAGACAAAAGCAAAGGCACCTGCTATGTTCCTAGATAAGGAGACTAAGGTTACTGAGCATGAAGGTTTGTGGCTACTTCAAAGTCTTGGCCAGGTAATATAATAAGGCCAGGAAAACCTTCCACTAGAAAGGGATTTTAGGCAAATTGAGTTTCATGAGATGATTTGGAAAGTTTTCATCAAGTGCACATGCAGAGATTCCAATAGCAAGTGATAATGGACTCCTAGAAGCTCTTCACATGCATTGTATTTGTACTAGATAATTCACACAAGAGAGAGGAGATGAGCTAAGCCCAGTATTAATTTCAAGCCACCTCCCTTTTTGTTTAAAGGAAACCCATGCTGCTTTATAGAGTTGTCAAGTTTGACTGAATTTTGTCTATTTGTTTAATTAGCATCCATCCTAAATGTCAGGTAGTTTGTCTAAACTAAGGCAAATGGTCTTTTTGTTGTTTTCTTTTTTCTTTATCTTATTATTCTTATGGATCATACTTACGTGCCAGTGAATATAGAGCAGTGTTGGTAAGCATGTTGCATTTGACATCTTTTTGCCCTTTTTGCTGTAGGTGTACATAATTAAAGGACATTGACTATTCTATTTCCAGTACACATTGTAGACAATTATTCTGTCCCCTTCTTCTTTCCAAGAATTAAACATCTTAAAATACCTTCAATTCACAAAGTGAGGAAAAAATTTCTCTATACTTTCAAAGGTGAAAGTATATACATTAGAGTGTTTGACTCAAACATTTCCATCAAAATCTATTTTGCTACTCATACAAAACCAGGAATTAAACACAGCTCCAAGGGAGAATGAATAAAGTCCAAGTGAAACTCAAGAAAAATTTGAACTCATTGTCTTTGAAGCAGCCATGATGCTTAGAGGAAGATCTAGGGATTTTTATGTTTTATTTCAGGATAT